TTTGTACAAAGTACTATCCCTCCAATAATTTTAGCCTCAACCCCATTGCGTTTTGTTCGTCAGTTCACGATCTTACTGGTTAGTGGTTGTAGCAATTTAAAGGCGGGAATGGGGACAGTGAAGAGTTAGTGAATTGTTAAGCTATGTTGGGCTTTTTACACTAAGCTTAGTCATATGAAACAAACCAAAAGGTTTCAACAACGTCCACTTGACGAAAAAATTGCGGAGAGATGGTTGGAGAAAGGAAGAGAGTGGATTCGTTGCGCTTACGTTTGAGCTGACCAATTCAACGAGATATTTCACGGCACCAGCAGCATGCATGACAACGCAGTTCTCGGGGTGTCTGCTAAGCTGATAGAGAGCCTTTGCTGTAGCGCATTGGACAGCAGGGTCTTCGGACTTGAGGTAGCACACCAGCGGCTCCACGGCTCCATTCTTACCAAAGTCACTGCGATTCGTGGCCCAGCAGCAGCACCGTGCCACTGCCTCCGCCAGCGGTCGTCTCAGTGAATCCGCAGTCTGACGTTTACCAGGACAAAACCTTCTCTCATCACTTGACGGCAAACCGCCTACACTGTCACTAACTTTTTTAAACTGTCATGCATGTTCGAACACAAGTTAACTCAGTTGTAGCGTGGACTAGATCATAAGGTTTATCGGTATGACATAAGTCATCCTTGTCAATAATTTTGAATTGGAGTCAAATTGGAAAGTGCAGATTCAGAAAACAAGCAATAGCACTTGGGAACCTACTTCAGAAAAACATTAAAAAGTTGAGTGACTATCACCGGTAAGGATAAGAATTTCACCGTTCTCAATAACGGATTATGTTACTGTGCCCCAACCGTGTAGGACAGTTCGGAGAGGAGAGGAACAACGCCGTGGTCGGTGATAACAGCAAGGTTCTCCTCATCTTTAGCAATCTTTGAGATGACACCACATATTGCTGCACGCACATCCATCGAAGGCGAACGCAGGAGGCTGATGACGAGCTCAAGACCACCCACAAAGGAACGAACCATCTCGCCACCTTCCTGTTCAAACAAACTGTAAGCACTCTTCACGTCTATGATTCCCTGTATTCAAGCGTAATGTCAGGCACAATTCATAGGGAAAAGTCGCCTGCTGCCTGATGGCTACAAAACTTAAATTTAGTGAAGTTATTGGAGAGACTTGAAGTTCTTTGCCCAAACTTAGGTAGAACGAAGCAAAACAATCGCAACAACTTATGTGATCATATTTTGACCTTTGGAACCACCATGGTCTTGCGTTTATGGACAGCAGAATTGCATTGTGGCAATGAAATGACAGATTTTTGCGCATTCTGAATTCGGAGTGTTTGGACCATTTAAAAAAAAACAATGATTATGATACTGTAAGCGCTGCCTATGCCCTTGTCAAGTCCTGGAAAGATTTACAGTTAGGGCACCACAATGCGAGCATTCCTCGAATTTACGTTCAGCCAAGTTTTGTACACAATGTTGATATAAATGTATGTTTCTAACGTCACTAAAGTAACAATCACTAGCATATGATAGCTAGACCAGGAGGACACTCCTAATGCGTTAAGTGAGAGGTATCGGCAGTTCAGTTGCAAGGCTTAAGAGAAGCACTGCATGCAACACACCCTATTGTGGACTGACCGGTACGTTTATGAGAATACTTCAAAACATACGCGATGTGCTCAATTTAAACAATTTATGACAGACGTAAGCTAGCGTTGTAAAAGATACGAAAGTATATTTTTGGAGCATTAAGGGAAAGTGGACTAATACACCGAAATTTATTGAGGACACTAAGTAGTCGCATTAGTTCTTCAAATTTGGTGTTTAACCCCGTTGCCGGCGAAGTTTTGTAGATTTTCTGCACGCATCAATTTATCTTAGCATACCCAGCTCTATAGCTTATTGCATTGAATGTATAATGCAATGATTAGCTGGGAGTTGCTGGATTATTACAACGCACTATCAAGCGAACGATTTTCAACTACTTACAACAGCGTTCTCAATGCAGGGGCAGAGTGCCCAGGCTGCATTAGCCTGAACACTTGGATTATTGGTCTTCAGGAGGGACCACAGAAGGCGAACGCCGTCGTTCCTTTCAATCACCCTACAAGCAATCAATTCGTGCGTAATCCGCCAATGGATAGGTCACAAGCTATGTTGGCATCATTCAGGCTTTTTTGCCAACCTTTCCTGCTTTTAGTCTTATCTGAATCACTTGTGTGGCCGCACATTTATAGTAAAGCCTATAAAATCTGACAGTTTTCATTGTCAATTGAATTGGCACGCGACAATAGGAAGCCTACGGAAGCCTTTATTTAAGTGGGATCTTTTTGCTGGACACATTCAACAGTCAACGTTTAATAATGCAACCATGCAGTAAAATTCTTACAATGTGCGTTTTAGAAAAATGTATAGTTACATAAAATTTGAAGCAAATTTGACTGTGCTGGGATGATCAGATTGAAGACTAATGGAATTAGAACACAAACCTATTGTCAGGGTTTCAGTGTTAATAAACTAGAAGGAGAAATCAGACTTCAACAAGCAGTGGCTTATGTTGCCTGTCCCTGCATGCCGCGTTTGAGCGGCCTATGGTCACTAAACTAGGAATCAGAGTTTCGCCGAGCATAAGTCTTAACAAGACCATGCAATTCCTGAAATGCAAAAAAATGCTCACTACATTGACAGATGAAATAAAACATACAGTACACTATCCTGGTCTTCAGCTATACGGCCAAGCGCACGAGTAGTGTTGATCAAGAGATCTTCGTTGGTGCCTGTAAGCAGCGCAATCAGCGGTGCTATACCATTTGCCTGTCGAATGAGAGCGATGTTGTTTTTGTTTGTTGCCATCTCCCCCAAGGCTCCGACGACATTGACTAACACCTACAAGTTCGATGATCGGAGTAAAGCAAGCATTCGGAATAATTGTGCAACTCGAAGGCCAATTATTAGGTGAATTAACAAACACGGAAAAATAAGCTCATTGCTACATTGCATTAAACCACTTATAATAAATGATAGGTTCTTATCCTTTTAGTTCCTCTCGGCATAAAGGTAGAAGTATTCGTAACTCAGCATAGAATTATCTTAAGACTAGCATTGTATTCTCGTTGTTGCAAACGTTCATATTTGGGCGAAGCAGAAATTGCATTTATGTTACTGTGTTGTAAGAGTGCAAAGTAGGTATATGAGGGAAAAATAAAACAAAACGAAACGCAGCATTACTTTTTCAGTTCTCCAAACCAGTTTTACATGCTTGGAAACCGACCTAACATAAAGGAATGTTTTCATCTGTAAAAGAATGTGAAATATATTCAAGGGGTTACAAGTTTCCAAATTAACACACCACAATGTCTTTGCTTTCTTCATTTACCACCCCACTAGCATAACTGAAATAAAGCCACTGCTTACCAACAATACGGTTTCGATTGCACACAGTGAGCTCTATGACCCTTGACTTGGGGGAGGATTGGTTTGTGGTGTCAACTTCGCGTAGGACAATACATCATACGCATTAATGTGGAAGAGGCATTGTCAACTACAATTGCACTCACCTCCTCGGGTTGCTGCGTCAAAATTGCGACCAGTTTGGAAATAACATCGCCTTTTTGAAGCTCTTTTGCATTTTCTTGTGAAAGTGCGCACTTCCAAATGGCTCCTGTGGCGGCAGCCTGGAGTTCTTTATTTTCGTTGATCGAAAGTATTTCAATTAGGGGTAGCAAACCTCCATATTGACGAACTAGGTCACGCGTTTCTTGTTCGACAGCGCACTGGAAGGACATGTACAGGTAAAAATTCAAAGTGGTGTCAAAGGTAAGAATTGGGCAAAAATCGACTCCATTTCACAACCATAGCAAGTACACCGGCGTATTTTATGAGGCAAATGCCACCTTCAGAGTCGACGCGCAACATGTGCAATCGAAATAATAAGCCTGAGAAATAGAGAACGCTCAAAACCACTAATAACGGAATTGGCAAAGCTATTGGGAGGTAGAGCTCGGGGCTCGACTAGCTAAGAAGCGTCTGAAAAATATTCACTGCATCTTCACGACACTAGTTATAGCCAAAAGCCCACGCACCTTAAAAATTGTTGCAGCACAGTGCATCTGAAGTTCCTCGTTTTGTGATCGTAAGTGAGCAACAAGATCCTCGATCATCCCTTCTGTGCGAATAGCGACGCGATAATCATGCTGAAGTCAAAAAATGTACATTTTCCTACTGTTCATAGTATCTCAAAATTCATTTTTGTCCTGGCCTCAAAAGTTTCAATAATCTTTTATTTAACAAGGCATTTTTTTGTTGAATTTGAGGAAACTAGAGATATTTATTAAGATATTTTAAGACTGTTAGTGCCAACTAATGCGGAATCATTGACTCTCAAAAACATGAAAAGTGATGGGGACAAAGATGTAACAAAGAACAAAATAAGAGGACAACGAAGAAAGCATAAGTGTTGAAGGGCATTAAATTACCTCGGAGGCGCACTCCTCGAGAATGCCGACGATGGGTATGAGGAGCGCTTCATAGGGTGACTTGAGGAGGCGTGCAAGGAGCGAAATCACACCCGCTTTTTTCATGGCCGCCTTGGCCCGGGCAGATTTGGAGCAGGACCAGAGGGCGAGAGCTCCGCATCGCGCCACCTCGAGGTCACGCTCCACATCAGGACTTCTCATGTCACCGCAGAAATTGGTCACATCCAACAGAGCCACCTACCACATCAAAATATGAAAGTGTTTGCTCCGAGTCTCAAAATAGGGTGCCACCGTCAGACAAACAGCAAATCAGCTAGAGGTGAATTCATATCTTGAAGCTAAATTCATGGCTAAACGGCATATGTATTTGCGCACAACATATGAATTAAACATCGTTCTTGCTTTTTAGATAGCATTATGGTAGCCTCGATCTCTAGAATGGAGGCATTTATCCCAAGAATATTTACCAATTTCTTGATGCCTCCTTGTTGCCGTACCGTGCGTCGAGCCCGTGCAAATTTGGCAACATTGGCAATCGCTTCGGCGCTGAGGCATTTGAGATCGCGATTTGGTGAGCGCAGCAGCTCAACCATCGGAGGAATACCACCTTGGTCAGAAATGGCCCTTCGAAGCTCTGGGTTTTGAGAAATCTCCTTCAAGATTTTGAGAGCTCCAAGCTAAAAAAAATATAGGTTCTTTATCATAAATTTGCCATAGGCATACTCTAATATTTTATGGAAGGGAACCAACCTTACAGCGAACCTCGTCGGTTTCCAGAAGATTTATCAAAACTTCCACGCCTCCAGTATCCCGGACAGCCAGCTGACAAACCTCAGTATTCAATGGCATATCATAGAGGGCACACAAAGATATGGTCGTTGATGTTTGGTTTCCACCCTAATTGTTAAAGTATGTCTTTTAAAGGATCTATGCAGTGGCATTTTATAAGTCATTCTAACTTTTATGTATTTAACAAGCTTTCCAATCTGCCAATGTTCAGGTGGCAGCTCAGCATTTGGGTCTTTGACAGGGAAGTTTTGCTCTTGATCACCCTCTTCACTGTCCGAACTTGGCTCCCCTGTAGAGTCTACATCCGTCTCTTGCGCTCTGCTAAAAATCAATGTATTGTAGTTATGCTTATGGAAGAAGATGTTCAGTCTTATTTAAAAATACGGAGCAATTCCACGTTACTACTCATCTTCTTATTTATATCACGAGAAACACTTACACCACTCGCAAAATCATACCTTTATAATACATTGCAGTGGTTTAGACGCAGGAAGAGCGCTAAACAAATAAGGATTAGCTCCCTGAACAAGTTGTTTAATCAACTCCAAAGCTTTCAACAGTACATTGCCTAGCTGGAGCCGCTAAACCAAAGGAAAACTCTTAAAACTATAAACTTTATAATCGATATTAAATTACTCATATGTATGATGTTTTACGACACTGATAAATGGTATAAGCAAGACCCCATCGAAAATGATTGTCTAAAGAGAAAATATGGATATGAAGGAAGTATGTGCAACTTTAACCGCAACGAGATTCAACCCACCTTGGCGAGTAAAATTGGTTTCTAATACGCTCGTGGGTAATAACATCCAAGTAAGGTCCGTAAATCCTTCAAAGCGGTTTTAAGATGGTGAGTAATTTGTGAATGCAGTAAGTATTGAACGAACAAGAGCAAAAAGAGAACTCCACAAGTACCCAGTATTTCCGAAGGCATATCTGGCACCATCTTCATCTTCCGTATAGTGGTAAGTACTATCATCTTTTACTGCATTATTTGACTGCGATGGGTTGTGATTTGCATTATCAGTGCTTCGGTTTGAAGCGTTCGATAGTCTAGGTAGTAAACTGTTATTTGTGTCAATGATATCCCATTGCTCCGAAAAGGTAGACTTCGGCGTGAACAAACTCGTATCCTCCATGCTTGCTTTGAATGAAGGTTGCACGGATTTTCTGGTTTCATGTGATGCGAATAATTTTGTTAATAATGTAAATTGGTACGCGTTGAAATCGGTGCAAGTAAAACTAGCTATTTCGGGGTACGAAAATAATCTTCTCACCACATTTTGTAAACTCCTCACTCCATCGACCATGTTAACACAAAATCACTAGTGCAATTATTCCTTTTCAAGCCAGCCGCAGAAATAGTTGGTCTTTTTTATCAAAGGCCACAAAAAATTATAAATCTATGTGCACTTTTGGCTTTGCTTAAATGAGTCTTCTTACACTTCATTAAGTGCATCAATCTTACCTATGCTTACTAGAAATGTTATAGGTTGCCGAAAAGAGCTTTATGAACATTATCTTGCCTGCTATCTCACCGTTTCTGCGTTTGATCGCCGTTGAGTTTGGCGGTGCCTTTGGAAGGAGAAGCGAGGTTGTCTCCACCTTTACAAAAATGACTATGGATCAGCGATGTAACGTTGGTACGTGGCTCACTGCTGCTTAGTTGACAGCTTTCATTACCTTGAAGGGCAGCTCCATCTGTCTGGAGAGATGTGTGATTTTCATTCGTCCTCCTCTTCGCATTTTCGTGCTTTAAATCACTGCGGCTCTGTTCAGTAGACTTTTCAATCTTGCATAGCCATTTAAGGCGATACATGAGAAGCTCGCCTTCAGGTGTTTTGAGAAACTCATCAAAAGCGTTGCACTCACACCTCAATAATGCAAGTAAGGTGGGGTAAACTACACCTTCTCGGTCAAAAAACAGCTCACATTTTCCTGAGTCGAAACCCTAAAGCAAATATTTTTTTATTCATTTCTTCTTCTACTGTACGTAGCAGTTAGATCATAATGAATAAAGAGTTATAGTATATTCACTGGATTGTCTATAATGCACAAATGTTTGTAGAGGTTGACAAAAAGTAATAAAGTTGCCTATACATAGATGCTTTACATTGTTCGCTGAAAATTCAAAAAAAATCGTACTTATGTCATCACTGCTATGTTATAAAATAAAGTAGCCCTCGCATTACACACCAAATTACCATAAATATAATGCAGCAGTAAAAGTTATATTGGCCGATTTAAGCCGCTGAAGAGAACTGAGATATGTCTGTACAAGATTTCATACCCGGTTTATAAACCAGCCCTTCTTTGATGCTGTGACAGATAGGACATTCTCGTGTCCTTCGATAGTGATAAGAAAATAAGCAACTTCGCCGAAAACCTCCCGCCATGGAGGAGCCCTGTAGCCGTTAATTCTTTTAACGGTATAGGCTTAAAGTAAAAGAAAATATTGAGGCGCTGTATAGCCAGCAATAACCCACGATGGTGGTGAAATCGGGATGGTCAAAACGGGCATTAACAGTGAATTAAAAATGTGGGTTAGAAAAACTCGTAACTTAAAATAAAATTAGGCGTTATTCTGCCTATTATCACCTTAAATTAAATTAATGAAGACAAGCGTTCAGGCTTCTTATTTACTCCATAATAGTATAGTGAATTTTAAGACTTATATCAAGACTTACGGCCTGTTTCACGAATTCCAAGAAGGGGATTTGTTTTGCAGTGACTGTTGGAGAGCATTTTAATTATATTATATTCGGTTTCAATATATGGTACTGACAAAGAAACGCTCCTAAAGAAAAATTTTTAAACATTTTTCTAACCTATTTTTCATTCCAACGATTTCTCGCATCAGAAAAACGTCATAATTATGCAAATCGACAAGAAGTTTAACCAAACCCTTATCTTTAATGCATGTAGCAATATGGTCTGCCAAAACAAATTAAGAACACAACAATGGCAAACCGTCCCGGGCTCTTTTAAGCTCTTCTGCGATTTTTAAAATTTTTGCCTCATCAAAAGACCATTTCTTTACATCGAACTCTTTGCCACAAATATTTTTATAGAAATTTATGTTTTCTGAAGTAATAGTGCTCAAAAAATTTGGCACAACCCTCAAGAAAGCGCTTCGTTTCTGCTAGTCTAAAGTCACCAGCATCGTTTAGAAAATTATTCAGAGCCCCAAACGTTCTTGCAGTAGCTTTAAACTCCGAATTTGAAGCGCGTTCGAGAAGGGCTATTGGTTCACCATCTTTACCAAGTTCTTTTGATGTAGCATAGTTTTTACTAAAACAATTCGTTTTAAACTATTGCTTACCATATTATAAAGTTGCTTAAATCCCCAAAATTCAAAAAAGAATGCCATGAAGCCGGCTCAATGAATGGTATTGAGGAAACGTAGGGATATTTCGTCACATAGGAACCAACAAAACTTGCGTATGACTCGAGCACAAAATTGTTTACATCCGAAAATGTAAGCGTTTTGCGTTTTTCCTCCCCATTTTTAGACCACTCACAGTGCCGACTCATAGCGAAGCCCATTTTATCAGTTCAATTTGGCGCAATTATCGGTAACTTGGATATTACATCACCGTATAGAGTAAACAAAGCACAACGCAGGCAAATTTTGAAACGCTTGCAAAAATGGGAAAAAATATGCATGTTTTTTTCTATGAAATTTATAAACATAGATGCACTGCATAGATGCATTGTGTCACGAAAAAAGAATCAAAGAACACTGATAAGAATAATATATCCTAAGGCGTAAATTGTTTAAAGTATTGATAAGCATCAATAAAGTTTTGAAATTTTTTTGTAATCATCTAGCTTTTAATGAATAGTTTGGTACTCGTCCGGTCTTTGTGCCAATCTCAAGCTCAATACCTCTCCTCTCCACAGAGTCCATGCACGCAGTCAAAATTATTGTCTTCTCCTACTTAGTGGGAAGTCTCTAAACACTGCAAACACTTTGTTACTTCAACCATCCGTATGTCTGCAGGTTAATGGAGTGACTGAGACTTCCCGCTATGATGAGAAGACACTAAGTTGGACTGAAGGCATGTATTCTGGTTGGAGAAGAAGGGATTGAGCTTTAGCATGGAGGTATGTATGACGCTTTGTTTATGCGACTGTCTGACGTTTGGCGGTCACTTTAGAATATGTCTGGCTCCTGTACACTTGGGTTAGCCTTCGGACCACCCTCAGCCCCATTTGCCCTGTCGTCTCCGGAATACATGTACTCAACCCCACTTATGACTTGTTCCACCAAATGGAAAGCCTCGGAACTTTACATTGATGGCAGCTGAAAGCGAATCCGACATTTTTTACCCTTTGTACGCATAAAGAGTTTGTGAAGACCTTTTGCCTCAGCCGATGTGGGGTCGTTCTGCGGCTTGTTCTTCGTTGGTTATTTGTTATTAGCGACATATTATCCGGGTAAATCTTTTGCTCAACAGACACCGCTGTCTTATTGACATCCTACGTTTGCGTTGCTAAACTTTACCAATTAATCGACTGATTTCTGGAAAAGAACAGTACAAACAAACCGAAGAACAATGATTCGAACGAATGATGCACTGGTTCAATATATGCAGATACCCCAAAATCGGGTCCCCTTGTCCGGAAAGTCAAAACCTCTCTTTTCACGACAAGAAGTTTGTATCCAACCAGTAGACAAGACTGCAAAGGAATTCTATTTTTAGTAGATAGATCCAAGATCAATAAGCGCATTTTGTCGTTGTGCACCGGCGATTATGAGCTATACATGCGTAGATGGAAGTCTGGCTATATCGGATTGAAATAGATGAAGATACAGGCGAAAAGAGGACGTGAATTGAAGGAGACCCATTTACTTTGGTGACAGAGAATCCCTGAATCCCTCACAACGAAAGGATTTTGACGGACGTCTGCATTTGGTTTCAACTTATTCCCGTGTGCCACAGATAAGCTATTAACAACTGAAGCGACACCGCCGTGAACCATCTTGAAATCGTTCCGTGTCAATGTTTGCTATACAAAACCCGTGTTTAGCTGTCGGAAATGACACAACGGTTCGCCTTGCATACGGGACAGTGGCTCATACCGTTTTCCCTAAAACACATCTGTTTTAGACCAGAGTTACACCGTCTACATCAAGAAGCATTTGGTGTTCAACAGATATATGCGGCCCAGAATCTGGTTATGAGACAGAACGCAACTCCAGACGCAGTTGAAGCTGCCAAGGAGACCAGGTACGGTTCCTCAGTCTCATGCTATCTGTCGACAGGCGCGTTCGGCTCATGGGTGCTTCCTTGTAGTACTGAATATGTTGTGATGGCTGGCGCAGGAGGTGTACCAAAGAGGACCGCCGAGGACGTCACTCAAAAGAAGAGGGGGACAGTGTAATACTTTGTTTATGTGACTACCTGACGTTTGACGGTCACCTTAGAATTTGTCTGGCCCCCGTACTCGTGGGCTGGCCTTCGGGCAACGCTCAGGCTCCGTTTGTCCCGTCGTCTTTAAAATACATGTATTTAACCTCACTTATGCTTTCTACTACTCTATGGACGCCTCGGGACGCTACAGTAATATCAGCAGATCCGTGCAGGAGGTTGGCGGATAAAAATGTATATGACAAATAAGCAGGTTGTCGCATAACCAAAGTATTGCAGGCACTTGGACATTTATTCGGTTGTTGTGTGCGCAGGTTGCTCTATGGACCAAGTCAAAGCCTATTCTCTCCTACCTCTCCCTGAATTTGCGCATATAGTCCTCCCAACTCTAGCCCTTTCTCCAAGTCTTAGGTCTCTTGACTCTGCAATCTCTATTTTGAACACTTTTGTACGCATGTTTGGAGTGTTTTTTAACAATCCGAATGATGTATTTGCCTTTCTATTACCTGACGTCGTATTAATATTTTAAGCATTGCTTTGACAATTATTTGCGACCCTCTTAATTCATTTTATAATCAATTAATTTTTCCTTTTTTCTTTTTGCTTCTAAGCTTTAATTTATTATATTCTATTAGCAACCTTTTCTAGTGCCTTTTAGACCGCAGCAGTTTTTGTTGTTTTATTTCGCCTACTTCACTGTGATGCCTTTGATTTTGCACTTGGTGGGAATTGACGTCGTGTGATGGAGGAGTATGCTAGGGAACCTTGGTAAGCGTTTTATTTCTGCGTAAGCCTTTTTGACTTTGTAATTAACATCATTCAGCTGTTGTGAATTACTTCTATCTCGGGGTAAGGTTAAGTATTCTGTTTTGGCGGCGCATGTAAATCTTCCTCATCTGAATGTGCTCTTGATCCCATGTACCCAAGCGGGTGATTGCTTGATCTCTTTGAGTTCAAGTTGTGCATTGTTTTGATTGGTTTTTAATTGTTTGTCTGTTGTGCCTTTCAGTCCTTTTCGAATAATTAGTGATTGCGGCGCAGCCTTTGCAATGGGAACCATAGGTGGTGGGATAATTCATGCTTACAAAGGTTATCGAAACTCTCCATCGGGAAGGTTTCGCAAGCTCTCTTCCGCAATAGCTCAGAGTCGCATGAAAGCACCTTTGCTTGGTGGTGCTTTTGCGGTATGGGGTGGTATGTTCACTGCCGTAGATTGTACTTTGGTGTTTGTGCGCAAAAAGGAGAATCCTTGGAATTCGATCGCCAGTGGTGCTATCACAGGAGCTGCGCTTGCTGTTCGTCATGGACCCACTGCAATGGCCGGTCAAGCTGTCATTGGTGGGATAATTCTCGCTATCATCGAGGGCCTTGGAATCATGATGAGTCGTTTTGCCCCAATGCTCATGCGTATGTTTTATCCCGACGTTTTTAGTACTTTCTTCAATGCCTTTCAGGGAAGTCCGTATTTCCTCTGCATTTTCCGCAGGGAAATATGTATTACCGGGTCTGGCGTTATTTCTGTAGTTATCTACTGAATTAAGACGCCCCGTTGAACACTGTTTTTTTTAAAATCAAGTTGGTTTGTTGTGTTGATTAATTTTGTTTTATCTGTTCTAACATCAGATGATCCGATGATATGAACATGTTGTTTAAAAGATGTTATTGAGGAATTAGGGTCCGCTTTGGTTTTGAGTCTCTTTTGGGAGAACCGAACTCGTGTGCGTAGTTTTAGACAGATCTTAAATTTAATCCAGTGCATTCCGTTGTCTTTTTCCATTATTTTTCAATTTAATATTCTACTTACAGTTTACCAATAGGCATATTTTCTCTTGTATTTAAGAACAACCAGAAACTCCGGTCGAGCAGCCCCCACTCTCGGAAGGAGGCAGAGGCGGAGGCTTTCTGAGCAGCCTCTTTTCAGGCAGCACTGGTGCTTCTGAGACGAACATCAATCAGTCTACAGTGCCCGCTCCATCGTGCGACAGTCAGCCTTCAACTAGCGGGCGATTCATGTTTCAGTAGTGTCTGGGACGTGTCTTTTTTTCGGCGTACTCGCTGTACAGTCTTTTACGTAATTGTATCATTTTCATGTGTCGCGCGGTTTTAACGACGAATTTGGGGAATTCTTCTCTATTTCTGCTCACCTGATCATTAGAATATACGATTTTGGAATAGCATTTAGTGACTGTCGTTCACCTTGCATTCATGGATCTGTGTTTACTCACTTCGATGCACTACTTCCGGGCTTTTTGCTCTTATTCGATGACAATTTTTAGCCTTCGCTCAGTGTTCATTCTGGCTGAGCATGCTCTGAGGCTTTTGGTGGATTCGGCTTAACTTTTTAGCCTTTCCATCTTGGAGTTCTTGGCAGTTTTTTTGTTTAAATATGGGTGTTTTTTTACTTCCAGTCGATTGGGGTTAATCTGAAATTGAAGTTCCATGTCTGTACATTTGCGCTCCACTTACATTCTACTTTGGATTCTTGTGTTTTAAGCTCTATGGAGATGGGTGTTAGTTTACTCATGTGTAGTCTGTTTGTCAATGGAATTGACTGTGGAAATTGCATTTCAGCTACCTTTTTTAGGTGTTTTAGGGGAGCAGCTTGATTTGGGGTCATTGCGTAGTTCGTTAGAATCTGGTTGAGCTGGTCGCGCAGTGAGGGATTGTTTTGCACTTACGTCTTGTACTTCACAATCGGAGGTTGCCGTAGTAGTCCTTACTTTTAGGGGTTGGCAGTTCCAATTTTGATACAGGACGCTTCGATCAAAAGGTGGTAATTGTTCAGGTACAGCGTTATTCACACTCATGAGTATGGTCATTTGGGTGTCATCAAAGTAATTGAGAATTAATAGCTGTCTGGTGGCGGCTGCATCTACCGACATTGGGGTTTCGTGCTTCGTGCGGACGTTAAAGTTTACCCTTTGGCATTTTTCGTCAGCAGGAGAACATGTTGATCATGTCGATATCATTTAAGGTTTGTTGATTTATATTTTACGCAGGCAGAACCTTTTGCCAGGGCGGAACTGTCAGACATGGTGAAAAGATATGCTTTTGGCGAGAAAGGGGGCTGGAATACTTCACATACAAAGTCAGGCGGTCAACCTTTCTGGGCTTTCTTCAACACCAAACAATCAGATGGAGGAACGGTGGG